AGGACAGCCCCGCTCCAAGGCTTGGGTTACGTGCGTATGTGCGCGCTCGCGTGCGCGTGTGTTTTAGCCCGCTCCCGCTGCAGAACCCAGCTAAGAAAAGTTATTTTTCCCCAACTTGCGACTCCCAGAAGCCAAACTTTTTCCCCCAAACCCCATTCCGTTTCAGGATGTACGCGGCTCCTGGTCCTCCTATTAAAGTCTCATCTCCTTGCCTGCAAAACATTCCCTTCTTAAGATTTTTTTGGGGAAATGTATTTTTAAAAAAATGCTAGGAACGACTTCTAAATTCCTATTAGCATAATACTTAAAAAAAAAAAACCCAAACTCCAACTCACACCTGGTGCAGAGAAGTTTTAAATACCGCTTTTTGTCTGAAAGAACGTCTAAAACAAGTTTATTCGTGGGTTTCAGCTTCTTTACCTGCCGTTTTCTTGCTTGTTGACTTTTTGTTTAGAGAGAATGAATTCTGTTCTTTCTGAAATAACCAGAGCCAGGAAGTGTCAGGGTTTTAAGAAATGAGCTAGATTTTTAAAATAGATTTTTTTAAAAATAGTAGCTATTGAAAAAGCTACTGGATCTTGCAGAACTAGATATGCTTTCAGAGGCAAGCGGGATCAACCGAGGTCCTTTATAATGGAAAAGATGGAAGCTGATGTACAATTGGGTTCAGAAACAGACAGAAACTTAGGGGAAGAAATGATCGTGGCAAACCAATGCTTACAAGAACCCTTTGATGATATTAGATTACCTTGACGATGGCGGAATCTGTGATCTGTATATGTAGTATGGATGTGCTTGCTGTTTTTGTTATGTCTTACTTTGTTGCTTTGTATGTATAACAATAAAATAGTTAGAAGAAGAAGAAATGAGTTAGATTTGATGAGCAAGAGGGTGATACCTCTAGCCGTTCACATGCAGCTAGACAGTAAAAGAGTTTCTCAGTACAGTGGTGCCTCGCTAGATGATGATAATCCGTTCCACTGAAATCGCTGTTTAGCAAAATCATCGTCTAGCGAAAAGCATTTCCCCATTGGAATGCATTGAAACCTGTTTAATGCATTCCAATGGGGAAGAATCGTCGTTGTCTAGCGAAGATCGGCCATAGGAAAGCCGCTTTGCGAACCGCCGACCAGCTGTTTAAATCGCTGTCTTGCGAAGCTTAGGTCCTGAAAACACCTGTTTTGCGAGCGTGGAGGAAGCTGTCAAAATCGGCGTCTAGCGAAAATCGGTTTGCGAAGCAAGGACCAAACATTGTCCAGCAAAATTCCCCCATAGGAATCACTGTTTTGCGAATCTTTATACCAATCGCAAAAAGTCAAAGTCTAGCGAAAAAACTGTCATGCGGGGTAACTGTCTAGCAAGGCACCACTGTAGTTCTCAACAGCTGGTGTTCAAAGGTATACTTCACTGACACATGGAGGTTCTCTGGATTCATCTTAAACCCAGTTTCCTGGGACCGAACTCCTTGAAACTCGATGGGATTTAACTTCTGAGTTCCAAACAACACACATATTCTTGTGGCATCACAAAGAGGAAGACGTTGACTTTGATTGTTGGGCCCCGCTTTGTCAGATGGATGGGGGTGCTGCCTCAGCTGACCGATTCTTATGCACACCCGTGAAGGGGTGTGTTTGAGGGAATCATCATCTGTGGGGTGGAAGTGAGATGCAAAAAGCGATGGTCAGTATGAAACAGTAGTCGGGAGGAAACCGGAACATTTCCTGGGTTTTTGAAATGTGGGCCAAAATCCTGTAGGGAAAAACCTCTGAGCAGAAAAGTCCTGCACAAGCAGTGACCCCCTGCCGACCCTCAGCTTGGCAACGCGTCTGACGTGTGATTAGTTGTGCAACTAGTTTTGCAACCAGACTCCCCCCCCCCC